AGGAAAGTGATAAGCAAAGAATAAATGCCTTGGAGATGTGGGTATATCGACGGCTGCTGCGAATACCATGGACGGCTCATCGAACAAACATTTCCATTATAGAGGAACTAAAAATTGAGACACGGCTGGTTACCAGATTAAATCAGTCAATCCTCCGATATTTTGGCCATATTGCCAGGAGTGCACCTCAATTGAGAGACTGATGGTGGAGGGGAAGGTAGAGGAAAGACGATCGTGGAAGGTCACCTAAGAGATGGGTAGACCAAGTCAAAACCCTAGTGGGCCACAGCCTCCCCGAAGCTTCACATATGGCGCAGTGTCGAACAAATTGGTCCGAGGAAGTGAGGGGAATCAACACATGATGTCACCATACTCTCACGTAGAAGGACTTAAGAGAGAGATAACAATGGGGGGTCACAAATTTGGGGGGTTTATGAATTGTTATTGTTTATGAATTTGCACGGACATAGAGGCAGGGAGAGGAGTGGGTAGGACACAGCGATACTTTGGAAGCCGGAGTCTCGGTTGCAAAATCGCGGTATTTCTCTGGAACGCTCGCCATTGTAAGACGACTAATGTGGAACCGGTATTCCCATCAGAGACAAAAGTTGTCTCTGTTCCCATTACTAACAGATACCATCCTTAGCACGGATTACTTCCCCGATTACTGTTCTTTGAAAAATGCAAAGATCAAAAAAGGACTCATTTAGAAAAGGCATATAGTAATAAACTTTTTAAAATAAACAAATCTTTATTTTGAAAAAAAAACAGCAATGAGGGCATTTTAATTCTTAATTTTTAATTCGTTAATAATTATGAGACATAACTAATGTTCTAAGTGAAAAAACTGAATAATAAATAATAGTTATCGCAATTTGTTAAAAATCTAGTCAGTACAAACAATATCAACTGTAAGGGTAGGTCAAATTGGACGCTTTCAAAGGGAAACACCTATAGGAGATACACGAAAACTAATATCTGTGTCTGGAGCTCAATTTTTATCAAAAACATGGTGAAAACCGCACATCGATATCTGTTACCGTTTCGAAGTTACTGGGTGTTTTTCAGAAATGTGCATATTAGTAATACCAATTACATTTAAAACAGGGGGGTTACAACTGAACTATTAAATGGAGAATTTGAGAGAATTGGATTGGAACAAGGGGCCCCATATGTTGGCCTGCTAGGTCCTGTGATTTAACTCCTTTCCACTTTTTTATAAGAGATATTAAAAGACCTTATACAGGGTGTCCCAGAAATAAATGCAAGTATTTTAACTGGTAGTATATTTCGGCCTCAAGTCAATGAGTTTTTTTGGGAAAAAAATTTTGAAAATTTGGAATTTTTTTAAAAAAATTTTGGAATTTTTTTTAATTTTAAGTTAAAGAACATAATTTCTTGATATGGCAACACAGGTAGTAGATTAAATTTACATGAAAGGAAATCCCGAAAAGTCAGTAGTTCTCAAAATTTAAGCAAAAAAGTATTTTTTGTTTAAATTTTCAAAGTAAAATAACTACTAAAAATGACAAAGAGAAAAAATGTTTCTTTTGACCAGATCTACCACCCCTTTAAAATAATTGCACTTATTTCTGGGACACTCTGTATACAGGGTGTCCGAAAATTAATGCAACAAAATTTGGTCATAGATTCTTGAATAAAATATATGACCCGTATTTTTTATTTTTGGCCAGTAGCCCCCCTTTTCGGATATACAGCCCCCTGAATTTCGCCCCTAAAAAGAGTTTTTTTTAATATCTCGGGGCCCTGTTGGACGAAAATCACTAAATTTGGAACACGTTGTTTTACTATAAAATGACATTTTTTGATGCTATTATTTTTTTTTATTTTCATCAGTGGCGTCCATACAGTATTAAAACTAAATATTATTGAAGAAAAAAATGGTACGCCACTGTTATTTTTTTAAATAAAAATTATTTTTAGAATCTACCTTAAATTTGGAACAAATTTGATCTCTTGACTTTTTTTTCGTACGACGCACCGTTTTCACGTAAAAAAATAAAAACCATTTTCATACATGACCAAATCGCTAAAATTTTACCGTAAATTTCAATGGCAAAATTTTTGAAATGGCAAAGTTTAAAATAATTTTTTATTTTCCAAAATCTTGTTTTTATTACCTAAGTGCGAATCTAAATGTTCAAAAACCTAAATTGCCGTTTTTTAAGTTTTGCTATGAAAATTTATATTAAAATTTTAGCGATTTGGTCATGTATGAAAATGGTTTTTATTTTTTTACGCGAAAACGGTGCGTCGTATGAAAAAAAGTCAAGAGATCAGATTTGTTCCAAATTTAATGTAAAAAAAAGTTAATAGCATCAAAAATGTCATTTTATAGTAAAACAACGTGTACCAAATTTAGTGATTTTCGTCCAACAGGGCCCTGAGATATTAAAAAAAACTCTTTTTAGGAGCGATATTCAGGAGGCTGTAAATCCGAAAAGGGGGTCAGTGGCCAAAAATAAAAAATACGGGTCACCTTTATCTATGACCAAATTTTGTTGAATTAATTTCCGGACACCCTGTATAAGGGAAGAACCATTGGAACGAGATAAGAATTGCAGAAGACTACTAGGCAAGCTTTTGGACTTATTACACCAGTTCGCCTAATAAATCGTTGTAACTGTGTGCGCAAAAATTGTTTATTGTGTGTTCAACAAGGAGGTGCTCAGTTTGAACATCTTTGATGATTTTTAGTAAACTATATTTGCCACTGAAAAAATACGTTTTTTTTAATTTTGTTCTTTGTTTATTGTAACGATTTCAATTGAAATTACTAATACCAATATAGAATGTTAATCTACCTTTTTAAATAAACATAAATATATAAATAATTTTAAATAATATTACAGAATATTAAATTGTGATAAAAATAATTAGGCAAATAGATCAACACAAAATCAAGGCCCGCTTCAATATAAAGATCAAAAACCTAATATTTCTCTCATTCTTAGAAATACATACCCATAACTTTATATCGTTGGAAAGGGTTAAACGCTAACTTTTTTAAGTTCACAGCCAACTATTTCCATTTAAAAAATTATATTTTTTATTATTTCTGACAAAAAGAACAAGCATATAAAAAAACTGACTACGCCACTGGATTGTGCTTAAAAAAGTGCCTTTAGAACGTTTTTACAGAATTTTATTATTCCACGGAATAAAAAAGTTATGGGCAATTTTCAACATGGTAAAAATTCAAAAAGATCCCGTATTTCAGTTGGCAGTGAAAATATCAACAGGCGGTTTACGCTAGCGATGGGAACTATCGAATGAATTAGACTATCGAATGGTTACTGAATGAATGATTTCAACTATCGAATGGTTTTATTCGAATAAAATCATTCATTCATTTGTATACTAAAGCATATGTGACAACCTCGCCGTGCGACTAAATGGTTATCGTTGAGCCACGACTATCGAATGCTTTTGATAAATGAAAATGAAATTTAGTATTCGTTTGATTTTTGTGTGCGTCAGTGCATTATTAGTTCTTCCAAATTTTTATAACTTCACCTTATAAATACTGTGCTATTTTTGCGTTTATTAAAATATTTAAAATACTAAAATAGTAGTTTTTTTAATTGACGATTGTGTGCGTGTGCAGGTGTCAAAATTTTTCCGAAAATTTGTGTGATTTTCCGTAGCCCCGTCCTTTCAATTATTTTATTTTATATGGTATTTTGAGAAGTAGCAATTTTTAAGAGAGATGAGATGAACTTGAAGTTTTACACGTGCCAATTTAAAAAAAAAGTTAACGATGTTTGTATTTTGTTTATGCTAATTCTCTTACATGTAGTTTTTTGCGAAGAAATATTTCATTTATTTTTTAAAGTAAATGCCAGTAAAAGTAAATATTATTTTTAAATAATAATATAAAGTACCTAATATAAATAATTTTGATTTCTAATTTTTCATTTATATTTTCCTTCCATTACACTGCATGCTTAGAAAATTAATAAATGTTTATATTTCATGATTTTAAAGTTTGTTGTTAATATAACAAATTAGCTCTGTAATTATTATTATTTAATAAACCAACGATGCCAAAAAATTTAGAGACTACATTATTTTTAAATATGATCTAATATAAATAATTTTGACATCTAATTTGTTGTTTATATTTTGCTACTACGTAAAAAAACCAGTCTTTGTTTAAAAACATTAAAAATCATTTTCCTACATCCAAAATATTTTATTATCTAACCTAACCTAACAACAGAATATTAATAAAAAAAATGCAAAATATATAGACATACTATCCCTAACTAACTAAAGCCAAACAATAATATTCTTTGCTAATATCAACTAATACCAATATACGGCAACAGCGCCCTTCATAATGTATTTTCTGTGTAAATACTAGCACCTCAATAAAAAAAATAATGTGTCCTTATCTTTAGATGCCGGCTTCTTTCTAGCATTGCCACCGACCGCTGTCGGGTATCTCGGAAAGAAACCTACGTCGCCGGGCGACAACTAAAATCCAGTTAATATTTTATTATAATCGATCCTGACGAATAAATGAATTTTATAAATGAATGGTTTTTGCTGCCGAATTACTAGAATACAATATTTCAAGGCAGATGACGCATCTATTCGATAATTTTTATTCGAATAGTTTTCAACGAATGTTTTTTTACTAGCTGTCGAATTATTCGAATGAATTGCAACTATCGAATGTTTCGATAGTATTCATTCGATAGTTCCCACTACTAGTTTACGCCATTAAACGTGTCTCAGAAATCGAGCCCATGACATCTATGTCGGTTTTGCTCTATCTAGTCAGGAAATAGGTTCTCTGTCAAAACAGACCAATTTTGACCACCCTGTAGATAATTAATGTTCTAATTGAAAAAAATTTAATATTCCAAAGAAAAAAAATGTTACAGCAATTTGTTAAAAATCTACAGTCAGTATAGATAATCTCAACTATCCATGTAGAAACTCTTTTCTACCTACTATTAAAATTACAAAGGTATCACTGCATATTTTGTATTTTCATCACAATTTATACATTTATTAAAGCTAATGAACTAATTAATACTATAGTACAGGTTGGTACCATTTTATCTCACTACCTAAACATCCAGTAACTAACTGATAGTTTGTAGGGCTAAACTTGCACGATAGTACAGTATCCCTGTGATAGTCATTCAATTCAACGATAGTTTTTAACTGCTGCGGTTTATCCGGCACGCACTCGGATAATTCTTCACAATTTTCACTAAAACCCAGCAATCTCACTCCTTTATCATAAGGGGAACAAATAATTCTGCCATCCGATGAAAAGGACAGTCCCTTAATAAAACCCTTGCCCACACTTTTTTCTTTGATAAAATGCGTCATTCTGGGTAGGTTTTGTATAATCTTATTTTTCTCTTCTGGGTGATTTTGGAAATAAGGATTAGTGTACGAGTTATTGTAGCCTATAAGTTCGCTATTAACAATTCGAATTTCTTGGCGTATTTGTTGATTGAAATTATTCATGTTGCTGTAGTCATCAAAAGATATGTAACCCATCCAAAGATCAGTGGGTCTTTGAGTTGGTGGATCTTCTGTTTCTTGTTCATCGTCCAGCTCCTCCACAGTACTAAAAGCTGTACTATAGTCTTCTTCGTTTCGATCTTGAATGTCATGAACAACGGTCCACTAAAAAGTAATAATAACCCATTTTACAAATTGCACGAATTTGTTAATTATAACTTTTAGGTTACTACTTGGATATGTTTGAAATGTGTGTGAAAACCAAAAAATGAAGTGTTCAGGGGAAAACATGATAAGCGCCAATTTCTTAATTTTAAGATTTTACGGTACTATAGTTGGTCTAACTGGTCCCTACAAAATGTATAAATTCTGCAGGGCAATATGCTGCTAAATCCTATGATATATAGGGTGGTCCGAATCCGAACTGTATTCCGGAAATTTCGGCAGCATATTCTGCAGATAAAAATATGTAAAAAAGTTCATATAAATGCATGGTACAAAGAAAACAAGGTATGATCGATAGCGGCTCCAATTTCGTTCAGTTCGCGCATACCACCTGTGACGTCACTAGGAAAATAAGTAAAAAAAATAATGAAAGTTGACAGGAGATCTGCATTTTTTGGGGTTATGGTTAAGAATTGTTTATTTTTAAGACTTTTTAGTTCATTTAATTGAATAATTACTAAAACCAGCAGTTCCAAAAATATATTTAAAAATAAAAGACAAAAATCCAAAATATTAATTATCTATTAACATGGATTTGGACGATAATAGGTAAGAATACTAAATTTATTTCTATATTCGGTATAAAATTGTTTATTAGGTTTTTAGTTTGCGATGTTTATGGTAAATAATTTTCATGTTCATTGTCTCTGAATTTACATGAGGACAGAGATGAGGATATCTATGGAAAAGTAACCACAAGAGGAATTGTTACATCATTTAAAAAATGTTGGGAAGTTGATTGTTTCCCATCGAAAAGTAGAAAATCCCAATGCAGATGAATGTATTGTAATTGTGATTAAGTAAAGAGTAATTCCAAGGGTGAAATTTATTATAATTAGTGGAAGTAATTCCAAGGGTTAAGTTTATTATAATTAGTGACCTGTGCTTCTTTTTATATCTAGATGTTTCAGGTTTTGAGAATAAATCGGTTGAACGAAACCCAAAATTTAGAGGAAGTATTCTCATAGTCAGAATATGCCCATCAAGGATTATAGCTCAAATTTCCTTTAATGGTAGGAAATTATTCAATGCAAATTAACTTTTTAAATGATTGAAATATTAAATAGGTTTACAATATGGTATATCACTGTAAAAATATATTACTTTTAGGTACAATTAGGGCCCGATACATTTCAAAAACTAGAATATTATTTTATATTAAATGAAGTATTGTAGCAACAATCAATTATTTATATTAATACCGGAGATTAATAAATAACAGAATAAATAGTTATTTTTTTATACTACAAAAATAAACTATAGAATACAACAGTATTTAAAAAATTAAATAAAAAAGTTATGTCCCGGCCGAGATTCGAACTCTAGTCTCTCGCTTCCTAGCCTGACTCTTTACGCACTGCTCCATAGTAACTTGCTAAGCGATAATTCAATGACGATATATAAACAAAAAAGCAGGTTTATTACAATATCTTGACGATTTGAACTGGCGCGCGGAGCGTGCTGACCAATAGCGCCTGTTATCACCTGTGACGTAGCGACCAACTTGCGCAATATCATACCTTGTATTCTTTGTACCATGATATAAATGTATGTCCTAAAATGCTTAGTTTCGAAGATACAGGGGTAGAAATTTCATTTTTATTTCGAGATTTTCTCCAAATAATTTCTGAAGTAACATCAATATTTGGATGAAAATTGGTGTCTGGAAGTTTTTTGATATGAGAAATTTGATTTTGATGTCAATATGACTCCTAGTAGGGCGCCACCTACATATTCTTTAACTGGTTTGAAGACCGATAACTTTTTCTCCGTACCTGTATAAAACTACTGAGTAAAAAATATACATTTATGGAATTTTTTTACGTAAAAAAGGTCTCTTGGTAAAAATCGCTACGAGTAATGGTTCTCAAGATATTTGGAATCGAAATTATCAATACCTGTCATCATTGACATAATTAAACATGTTGACTAAATAGTTATTAGACTGAGATCATAAATTTGAAATGTTTTTTGTGCCAAAAGTTCAACAGAAACTGTTTTATCATCATTTTTTCGCAAAAAAATTATGATTAATTTAAAAAAAATAAAAATTTCACAAATTTATTATTTCAGTCAAATAACTATCTACTCAGCGTGTTTATTTTGTGTCAATTATGACATGTATTGACTATTTTCATTCTAAATATTTTGATAACGGTTGCTCGTAGCAATTTTTACCAAGAGACCCTTTTACATAAAAAACTCCATAAATGTATATTTTTTCACTCAGTAGTTTTATACAGGTACGGACGAAAAGTTATTACTCTTCAAAACAATTAAAACACATGTAGGTGGCGCCCCCTACAAATAGGAGTCATATTGAAAATTCGTAGTAGTCATATCAAAATTCTCATGTCAAAAAACTCCCAGACACCAATTTTCATCTAAATATTAACGTTACTTAATAAATTGTTTGGAAAAAATCGAAATAAAAATGAAACTTCAAGAGGGGCAAACATATTGAAATAAAATACCACTTTATAAAAGATTTATGTTTGAAAAAGGTATTTACAATCAAATATGTTAGCTCATCTCAGAATTATGCCGATATGTTTACAAAATCTCTTTCAAAAGAAAAATTTGTTAATTTTCGAAATGGCATTTTAGCAAAATAAGTTTAAGATTTTTTTTTTATATTAATGTTTTGGGCAATTTAATTTATATATAAAACTTTAAATTGAGGGGGTGTGATACGAATGATACTCTATGTATGTCTGTGGCTAATCAGCTGATGTATAATTTAGAGGTTATGAAAACAATTATGTCTTGTCTTGAAAATTATGCGCATTAATTAATGTAAAAAGTTTTTCTGTCAAGTTGATCAATATAAAGTTTTTCCTAAACTATAGCGTCTATTTTCCACAAAAAAATCCCACATACCTCAACACATACCAATCCATTTATTTAACTAAAAAAAGTTTCTAATATTTTTTAAGTTAACTATGGATGGGTTTATACCGGGTGTTGCATCGTCGTTTTTTTTTCAAATCATTTTTAAACATACAAAAGTTTCAAATTATTTTTAAACATACAAAATTTCCTTATACCGGGTGTTGCATCGTCGGACGGGACATGGGAAATCCCATGTAAAGTTTAATGGGGTCAATTATTGGCTTCCCTAATTATTTTAGAGAATAATTCTATTTAGGTTTATTGAAGAGCACTAAAACCCACATTCAAAAGAATAACTTTAGATATTTCTGATTAGCTCGTTTACGAGTTGTCGCCGATTTCTTTTTAAATATTTCTCCTTTCTTATGGCCCTGTATTTACTTATGAGCACCAGTCAAGGTAAAAGATAACTGTCAAATGAAGTTGTCATTTCAGAAATTTACCTATTTAGTGCTTTATCTATGGTGCTTTATTATTATTATTGAAAACTCATTCCTACATCGGAAATCTTAAAGATGTATTTATAAATACAAATTAATATGAATTAAAGTAAAATAAAGTAATCAATTACAAGGTTAATTATAGTATTATTACAATATTCAATAACTTATTAATTTAGGTACTATTAAATTGTTAGAACTTTAGGATTTAAGAAGATGTTCAAATATTCTTCCATCGACTGCTAGACTATAACCCAGGCGATCATAAAATTTCTTCTTCTTACATTCGCTAGTTGGTAAACTGAAATTCTATTGCATTCGGCAGAAATAGCATTTTTAACTCGTCTAGATTTGGGTATTTTTTATCCTTGTATATCCTGTTTTTAAATGGCCCCAAAGAAAGAAATCATTTGGCGAAATATCAGGAGACCTTTTGCTGGCCAATTTACTGTATGATTTAGGCCAATAACGTTTCCGTTAAAACTATTGTCTAAATATTCCCGAACAGCCAGGGTACTATGTGCCGGGCAGCCATCCATTTGGTACCAAACTTCCTGATTTTCCCTAGCGGCATCATGTAAAGCAGGTAAAATATGATTTTCGAGTAGTTCCAAATAATATTCTGCATTTAAATTTCGCGTAAGAAATAATGGCCCGATAATATTGTGTGCAAAACGCCTGCCGCCGTATTTCGTCCCCATCTCGTAGCTCTTGGTGCTTTTCATATTTGAAGGAATAGTATTTATGTCGTTTCAAAGTTCGAAAAACTGTAGTGTGATCTATTCCTATTTCATCCTCAAGTTTCCTTGTGCTGGTCTTTCCATCGTTCTCTTCCACGCACAATAAAACTTCCAAGTCGGTATCATTTCTTGCATCTTCTCTTTGTTCCTGCCTTGCTTCACATCTGCAGTTGTTTATTAGGGTACCTTTGGTCTCAAATCTCTGGATATTCCTTGGTATTGTAGATTTTCCAGGTATCGGTCTATTCGGATACAGAGCAGCAAACATGTCCGACACCTTTTGATAACTATTTCCTTGATAATACCATTTAACTATCAATACTTTTTCTTCGGTAGTGTAATTCATGGCTAATATTTTCAATGTAGGTATGAGTTTTTAATAATAATAATAAAGCACTAAATAGATAAATTTCTGAAATGACAACTTCATTTGACAGTTATCTTTTACCTTGACTGGTGCTCATAAGTAAATACAAGGCCATAAGAAAGGAAAAATATTTAAAAAGAAATCGGCGATAACTCGTAAACGGGCTAATCAAAAATATCTAAAGTTATTCTTTTGAATGTGGGTGTTAGTGCTCTTCAATAAACCTAAATAGAATTATTCTCGAAACTAATTAGGGAAGCCAATAATTGACCCCATTAAAATTTACATGGAATTTCCTATGTCCCGCTCGACGATACAACACCCGGTATATAAATCTGTCATGCGTCATCTCTTGTTGATTTTAACCAGTTTTATTGGTTTATTTCAAAAATGACAGATCATATTTCAATATTATTGGTTTGACGGAAAGATGAACGACAAACGAACGCCAATGCGTGTGAACTAGTCTTAAGATTTTTGAGAGTTGCCAAACTCTTGCCA